CCCACCATATACCTAGGTTATACACTTGCTAGAAAATATCACACGATATAATAAAATAAACACCCCAATAGATGATTTCCATACTGTATTTAACAAAATGGTAGTTTTTTACATAACAGATACGATTATGGTAAACATTATTACTAATGACATTCATAAAATTATGTAATCATTTCACTGAATTCAAATATAACAGAATATAATCTATTTAAGGAGCGATAATTTCGTTTATGTTCCAAAAATGGAAAGTCAATTCATATGTCAATACAAAATAGTATTTACCAATCCCGATGTTGTCAATGACTTTGGCAAAGGCCTTTATAATATTTACTACTGTATACTGTACAGATATAACAGTTTAAACAACCACAATGTATTTTATCTGTGGATGGAAAACAAAGACGCATTGATGCTTTCCATTACATTCCACAATTTGAAATAAGTATAAAGAGTCAATTATAGCAATAATGCATGACTATCTGACCTTTATAAGGAGTATTGAAAACAAATATATATATATAAATGTATAATATAGACGGATTGAATATAACAGTAATATATAAATCTCAAATTATCCACACGTGTGTCATGAGTGATATTATTGCCATGTGATGATAATAATGATAATGCGTCAATGAGGCACAATATACAAAAGTTAAAGATGTAACGTACATGTAACATCAAATATTACCAATGAAATACATGCTTTCATATAAAAAAATAATAAGATTATAAAGACCAAGCTCTTGAATGTTCCCTTACATTTGCGCGTGTGGAAATGCTTGCGTTGTGATTCCTGAAACTGATGATGTTGTAAAATTGTTTGTGTTAGCAATATAACTTAAAATCTTGATATAATCGATAATACATGTAATTTATGAATATGAATGGATACTTTCGCACTTATTTATTTAATGCACTGATCATTATCAAACGAGTATAATAAAATTGCGAATTTGTTGAGATTTGTATCTCTTTTTCATTCTGGGGATATCATTCTGGTATATATTGGATTGGCATATTTTATATCTAATCTGTGGGGTTATAGTTCTGATATCAATATGGGGGCGATGATATCTATCGATGAAATTGATTTGTTAGGGAAAATTTCTGACATCCCTATATGTTAAAACACTAGTTTCGGTTAAATTGTGTGTTGGATTACTTCTAATATCACTACATGTATATTGGAAAATACTAGTTCCGGAGTAATATTGCGTGGGATTTGTTCTGATATCACTTTGTGGGATAATGCTAGTTCTGAGGAAAGATTGTGTGGGATTATTTCTCATATAATTGTCGACCATGTTTACTCTTAGAACTGTCATAACATATTTTTATACCAAATTTTGTTAAAATCGGACCATTTTTAAGGCATTTATTAAACAGAAACTCGATCGCGACAGACAGACAAATCAGATAGATTAGGATAAAAATGAACTGGTATATCGACTGGGACACATTTTCTACTTCTATTAATAAGAGAATAGTTGAACGTATCCAGTTAAATTATGTTAATTTAATCACACCTTCATTCTGAAAAAAGCATAAAATAAATTCAACATTCACATCCGGTGACAGATGTCTCAAAACTGAACAAAAGCATGAAAAACATTAATAAAGCGATACCTTTTAACAATAAATGTATCACAATGAACCCCCAAAAAAGGCTTTAAGAGAACATCTCGAACATTTTTACACGAAATTAGAAAAAGGAGGAATGTCCATTTATTCAAACAACCTTTGACACACCAACAATGTACTATTACAGCAGTGTTATAAACCATGGTATATTTATCAACTAGTGATACTGATGGTTATCTAAGAGACTGTTTTAGATTTTATTATCAGGCAGGATCAGTAGATGACGTATACACAAACCGAAGCATTGTTTCAAAAGGGCAGAAATAGTATGGTATCCTGTAGATTCAAAGGTCAAAGATAAAGTTAGATAAGACGGCAATAATAAAAATATAAAAATAAACAAGAATAAAGCTTATACAGATGATACTATTACAGGGGGCAAAGAACATATATAGAAAATACAGAGGCCAAAGATTAGTATAATATGAGATTAATTATTAAAGCGAGAATTGAATACAAATACAAGAGACAAGGGCAATAATATTGATTTAAGATGGTTCATCGTGAATAGCAATTGAAAACCGGAAACGAAAACAAATACTCTGATTATACAAATTTAATCATGCTAAACACCAATTTCATCCAGGATTTTTGTTTATATCACTGACGATCTAAAACATACTGAACAAATAGTTAATAAGTCCAAAATATTACAGGTAGAAATTCGATCCACATGGCGACCCAAAAACCATTTCATCTTCGCTTGATGCTAATGAGATAACAGACTAATTGATTAATTTGTCAATCAGAGGCACTTTTTTCTGGGTATTGTTTAAACTATTCACAGTGTAAACCAACTGACTATTAATACATGGTCGAATAATTCATTTGAAGCTGCTGGGATGAAATTAGTACAATGTACAATCTGTCATACAATGTATAAATAAAGAATTCAGAAATTCGAACCACGGTCTTAGAGTTGAGGTAAAAGCGAGTTTTTTTGCTGAGAATAAAGTATGGTACCGGAGGTGAACATTTGCAATTGAAAGAGCACGGTCCTAGGGTATGGGATATGCGAGATGAAGTTCGATACAAGGGTCATTGCTTCCAATACGTACGTACCTATTCATCTTTACGAACATTTCTGTACATCCTCATCGTGATATTCTTCTTTGACCTTATAGTCCTCAACCGCTACTTAACATTCAGTATCCTGTAGCTTTTCCTTTGGATATGTTATCATCTTTACCTCTTCCTCCTTCTCTTCATATTTTTTCTGTTTTTCTGTCCCTTCCTCTGGCACTTCATCCTCCTTTACTTTTTCCTTTTGTACACTTCTCTCTATTTAATTCTCCTGCGTCACATCCTCGTTCTCATCCCCTTCTTCTTGCGGCACATCATTTTCTCTCTCCTCCTTTTTTATGATACGTTCTTTTTCTTCCCCTCTTCTTCTCATCGCGATTGTTTTCTTCCGCTTTTGTCGCCTTGGTCGACCGGAAATCCCTTTTGCACAATCTGACGGATACTGTCCTTTCTTATTCTTAAAATGGAGTGCTGAAGAATGGTTTTGGATATGCTGGGACAATAAATCAATAGCTTTTCCAAATTGACTACCGCCTGGTTGGAGATGGGCTAAATGCAGCAGTCCGTCTCCATATCTGTCTTTTGCTGTGGGATCACACATATTGTATTCTTGTGGATCTTTTTCGAACTTCTTTAACAGAAATTCAAAAGCCTCGAAATGTCCTGGAACTATCAGAAAAAAAGTTGTTTTAAATCAACGAATGTTTGCCACAAGCATGCAAATGCAAATGCCCTTATAATTATGGTTTAATCTTACGTGTGTTACATAATTGAGTTAATGTGAAAAACTTGATATGGAATAAGTAGTGTTTTATAATCTACCTTATAATCGACTGCCATCGTGCAGAAAATGTATTTTTAAAGTCGCACATAATTAGCATTTATACACTAGTATATACATCATGAGCTACCCAACACCGCAGACGAACCACGTGTTCCAGAAGGGTAGGCGATAACTGCACCACATGTGGCACCCTTCACGATGTCTGCCAACACTTATAGGAAAGTTTGCATGACAGCAAAGATCTAAGTCATAGGGACCAACGACATGATCTTCAAGTCATATATAAAAAAGAGAAAACCAGGTCAGTTTGACAACAGACGTAATTCTTTGAGGTATAAAATGAAATGAAAATCCATCTCAAGTACTTTTGGTAATGTTTCCCAGGCACTTAAGTGGGCGCCAATGTAGCAGAAGTCCATTTTCTGAAAACCTCCGCTAGGGATCGAACCCGGGACCTCTTGTAGATAATTGAGCTAAAGAGAAATTTCTTTTTAGCTTATTTGATATGGTGTCAGACTAGAACGATGAAGGTCCCGAGTTCGTTCAGTAGAGGAAGCTTTGAAAAATATAATAACTACCGTTACATGTCTATTGCAATAGTTTATCTATGTCATTCGTAATATATTTTCTTTGTCCTCAGTAATAGTCTGTCTTTGTTCTCCGTATTATTTTATCTTCGGTCTCTGAATTTTGTTATAAACAAAATTGCCCCCTGTAATAGTTTCGTCTGTATAACCGTTATGCTTGTCTACTGTTATATATTTATTATTGTCCATTAATATAACTTCGTCTTTAGTCTTTGAACCGACGGTATATCGCGTACTTGTTCCTGCTCTTTTAAAACATGGCCACAGTTTGTGTATACGTCATCTAGAATGTTGTTGATATTTAGTGTTCCATTTGCATTGTCTATGTCCTATTTTTTTATCAACATTTCGGTTGAGATTTGAAAGAAAAAGAGTCAACCATTATGTAGGTATGCAGAATATTGATATTCTACTCTCAGATGAAGTATTTTGTAACAGAACATAAAATAATCAGTTCTGACCCACATATTACACTCTCGAGAAGGATTATCATATCCCACACGCATACATCTTTTTATCTAAGTTTATCTTTGTTCAATGTGCTGAATTGATTTTTGTCCTCTGCATTACTTTGTCTTAATCTCCGTACTAGTCTGTTTTTCTTCTATTTAGATTTCTGTGTAGTAGATATAATTATGTCTAAAACATAAAGGTCATGTTGTCTTTTTGTGCTGTCGATTGAAATCAGTACACTCAGTGTCTCTATTATATATATACTATATATGTGTACTGAACAACAACAATTATCATATGCTTATCCATGATAACACTAGCTGTGCATAGGCAATATACCAGACTAACCCACATCTTCCAGACACGCGCCATATTTGCCCGACATGCACTACATCTGCCCAGCACACGCTATATTCGATTTACTTCCGGTGCAAAACATTTCAGTAAAATCACGCTTCTCATACACTTGATTTGTATTATTGCTGATAATTTTGATACCGTGCTAAAATATGTACATTGAGGTATTAGATAAAAAAACACTTTGTCATATGACTATTTATATATCGTATCCCTTATCAACCCTCGACCCATATCTGACCGATAGGGAGATATCGGGTGGATACGGACTGCAATATATAACTCGTCATAAGATAACGTCTAAATATACACAGCGTCATCATCGAGCCTCACAAATGTTGTACCAGTGTATCACGTGATTGTTTAAGTTTATCAGGTGAATGTGCAGGCATGTCATTTCAATATACTAAAAGGCATTCATCAGTTTTCATGAAACATTAATTTGTATACATACACCATGGGCTTCGCACATTTTTAGTTAAAGGAGCAACCAATACATCAGTACAGTATGACGTTTGACCAACAAAAACTGACCTTTTGTAAGCGCGATCCTTAATGCAGCATGTACAGGCGTGTCACCGGCGTATATGGTCAGGTGTCTTGGATGAGCGCCCCTCGACAACAGTAAGAAGAGGATCCCATAGTGGTCATTTTTTATGCATGCTAGGATACAAGTTTTTCCCTCTGTAGATTGAGGAAAAGTTTCTCAATACATATTAATGAGATAGTTTAACTCGGAGTCAGCGATCATCGATAATTATATACAATTTTTATATTCCGCAAAACAACTGTTTTACATCATAATATAAAATATAAGGTAATAGTTGTTTTAATTAGAACAGCAGATACATATAGCAATGAGCAGGAGTTTTGAAATGATATGTTTATAGCAATAAAAAGGTTTTATAAATAGGATATAAAATAGATTCCATTTTATAAAATGACAAGTGAAAATCGTTCTCCAGTTGTAAATTAACTCATTACAGAAAAGAGTAATCGTTCTCTGTGCACTTTTGGTACGTATAATTTTAATATATCTAATAATAACAATCTATTGCCTGGACGGATACAGGGGTATGATTACTAACCATTCGGTATAGTTGCTCCTATATCCAATAACCCCTTCATCAAATTGTCCAATCTTTTTGTTTTTCTCAGAAACTGTTGATCTCCCACAACAGTCTCTAAATATATTTCGTTTACGAGATCCATAAACGTCTCATTGGATGCATTGAATTTACGGTGTTTACGGACTATACTGAGAAAAGGGAACCATTTTCTCCTGTCCAGTAGACCTTTCAAAATCTGGTTCAGGTGGATATCGGGAATTTGTATAAGGTCTTCAGGAATTTCTGTTAAATATATACAGTAAATAAAATATATTATAACGTATATTCAATGAGTCAACTAGAAACATAATATATACAACTAATTTTTGTAAGCTAGAAAATTCATTAAAAAACTTGAAATCTACCTACGTTTTGATTTGTTTACTTTTGTCACGTGGTATTCAAATCCATGTTGATAATTTCAGAAGACGTTAGGGATAAAACACGTTAGTGATTAAAAGAAATATTAACGTCACTAACATGTTATTAATCAAAGATGGGTAATGGTAAACAGTGACACATTTTCTATCGTCGTAAATACAAGTAGCAGGAGTATTTTACCCGGACATGGACCTCCACTCAATTCAGGCTTTTCTATTGTATGCTTGTATACAATTGAAGAACTAATTCAGTTTAAACGCCAATGAAATATATAACGACTTTATTTCTTAACATACCCATTTATATATGAATGACTGATTACTATTTCGATATGCTTCTGATCCGTACCTGAACATGGTCGTACACATTAATCGTAAATTGGGAGTGTCAATGTAAACAAAAAAAATCAATCACTAGAAAAATGAAATTACGAATTTTATTTTTTAATTTAACTTGTCGATGCAGTAAAACAAAGAAAGTAAACATTTCACTCGATCAAATCAAAAACCAAATTAAGAAATTTACCCTACTAATTAAATTTCTACCATGTTATTGATTTTGTTTTCCTGTTTTCCGTTTTTAATACTGAACAAACACACTGCGGGTGTATCGAAATAATCTGGTACAACACAATAGGGAACAAGGCGAAGTGCTGTGAGCAATCCATATTCCATATATAACCCCACTTCCGGACAAACTTGAAATTAAGATGAACTATGGACCATTGCAATGCATATAGTAGGAGGCCCGACACCCTGCCATTCGAAGATGAATTCACAACCAAACATTGGCAATGGTAGATGACAGAGTACATGAGATAAACACGAGAAAGGTGAAGTATTTGACTTCCTAGCGAACTGACGGATGGAGTGCGAGTCTATAACTCCCCTCCGGTAGTACCGTTTGGGGTCTAATAAAAGGAATACAAACTCACCCGGATCATCAGAGTCCTCTAAATACGCAACAATACGATTGATGGTCTTTGAAATATATTCATCAGAAAGGGCAGGTGCACTTTGTAAAAGTTTCGCAAAGATAGCAAATCCGTTGTTGTACTGTTTAATTTCCAACCATGATATTCCTTCCTTGAATAGTGATTCTATTTTTTGCGCATCGTTTTACGTTCAGTTGCCCTTTTCTACAACATCAGAAATATTTGAATGGAATATGCATTAATGTAAAGATGAAACTATAAGGTTATTATAGAAAATATCATGAATGATCGATATTGATGATTATGTGAATTTGAATTTATTATTCAGCTTAGGTGTATCAAAATAGTTATGAACTCAGTAATATAGAAGTAAATTTGAATGTGAGTGTGTATTAAATGTCTTTCCAAAACTTACCACTTGGGTTTTGTTTGGAATATCCAAGCTACCCGGATCAGTCTCTGATCCAAAAAGTTTCCCTTCGCTGTGGTCATAGTGGCTTTTTTCTGACTGGTCATGCGAATGACGTGCTTTCTCAGAACCGTCATCGTCAGCTGTCGATGTATCGTCAAACTGCTCCTCAGAACCCGCAGATGGTGTATCAGATGTAACACTTACCTGCTGCTTATCAACTTCAACAGTATGATGACAGATAATGTCACGCTGTAAATGTTCGTCAGTGGTTTGTCTGCAACTGTTATTGTTGGCGATCCTATCTTCTGACGAAATCACGCCAGTACCGTCACAGGGAAACTTCTCCGGTTCGTCGTCCTCCGTTGAATGTGTTTGTGGTGTCGCAGAACCATCAAGCTTTCTTTGCATTGTCTGTCTTTCTTGTACTTCGATATGCTCAACAGTTATACTTTCTTTGAGTTTCTCTTTATCGTCTTCACTTATCGGATTATCATCAGTACCGTATAAATCATTCCCTGCTTGCTTCGTCGTGTTTGCCATCATTCCTGTGATAGATTATTCCGATATTACTGAATTTTCAACAAGGGCATATTGCTTCTGAAACCATTTGAAAAATTCCAAACATCGGTGGCCATTTTAAATGTTACATCACTCGGCATCTCGTCTAAAGAATGTTTTTATATGTGAAATGTATACACTCCGCCTACAAGTATGCATGGATGAATAGTCTTCGTTCGTGCAGGGAGTAGACTGGTCCTATTTTGGGGAGGGAGTAGCCCTCAGGTGGAGGGATTTAAGCGATTTTAGGGAAATACGTGATCTTATAAAATTGTTTTATATAGAGAAAACTCAGTAGAGGTGTAATAAATACTCCTAAGATATATTCCTCTAATATGTATTCCTGAGCTGTGCTCCTCTAGTATGTATATATCCCTAGGTTATTTTCCTCTAGTATATTTCTTAAGATGTATTCTTATGCATTATGTAGCTGATAACCCTTAACTACATGATTGTTTTCCTGTGAAGGTCTATTATGGGTTGATTATTTATGATTCAGGCTCATGAGGATGTAAACTTGCTCACGTCAATAAAGCGAAAAGGAAAAAAAGTACAAAGGGGTAAGGCCTTGCCCATTAACCATGTGTTCTGGAAGGAGAAGCGTATTTTGCTTCATCTACGACACCCACCATGGCAATCCCTGTCACATTCAAGTCATTTGGAAAAAAATATATGTCAAAGTAATGAACACAATAAAATGACATGATTGATGTGATGGCTTTATGACACTGAATAACACTGTTTTCATATGAGATATATATATAAATAGATANATATATATATATATATATTGTATTCAATAGTGTTATAATCTTCTACGTCAAATGAAACCTTTTACCAGTTTTTATTTTCTTGTATTTAGTTGACATATAACATGCACTGAAAAGGTTTAAAAGTGATACTGACCTCCAGATGTATTATGGTGTGTGATGTTGGCTATACTCGTACGCTAGCCCACGATGAGCTCGTAACGTCGTTTAACTGTCATAAAAATTAATATCAAATGATAAATTATAGGATACATACCTTGATCATAGAGCATGAGGTCCAGTCTTGCTTCCTTCCCGATAATCATTAGTTGTGCATTGTGACAATGACTAATAAAGTGTTATCAGCTGCTAATTACGATTTCAGAAATACTGTTGGGTTATATAATGTAAATCAAAAAGTGAAAGTAGATAGGTTCTTGATAAGCATTATCAGTTTACAAAGCGGATTGATTCTAGTTTATGTTCCAACAGTGCAAACTACACTGTAGGTCATGATAAATTCTTTCTGTTTTATTCAGGTCTTGATGTACGGACACTTTTATCTTAATAAACACAAGCCAAATTACGTCAATGCAAACCTTGTTATTTATCTTTTTTTATTTTTTCATTTATTTTTTCATTTTTATTTTTTATTTTTTAAGCCTTTTTTGACATTTGCATTAAATTAACATGACCTATACATACACTCTCACACAAACTTTTATATCTACTCATGTTTCAGCATCATCTTCACCATCGTCAACATCCTCAGTATCATCATCATCATCATCATCATCTTCACCATCGTCAACATCCTCCTCCTCCTCATCATCATCCTTGTCATGATAATGAAAACAACATGAGAATGACATCATTATCATCATGGCACTCAATTCTCATCACCATCATCATCATTATTGTCATAACATCATCATCCATCGTCATTATCATCGTCATCAATACCACAAAATAATGATATCAATTATCATCACCATTATCATCAAATAACAGTATGAGAACGACATCATCATTATCATCATCACCATAACCACAATAGAATGACTTCTCAGTTATCATCATCAAACAATGATATCAAAATAATAATTAGTCATCAGAATGTCAATCCTCATCACTTAAAACTCAGTCATCATACTCATGTCATAATGACACTCTTCACATATATCATCATAATCATGCCATAATATTTATCTCATCATTATTATCATCCTCATCACCATCTTTATTATCATATCATACTTGTTATTTATCATATTGAATTTATAATTCCTTTTACATTAAAAATGATTTCATATAGCACACACGACAAATTCGGCCCTTCTTGTTCTCTTATAGATCAAAGAATACTGCAAATTATTTAATTCAAACAAAAATAGTCATATATATGTATTTAGTACAAACATGTAGATACATGTATCCGATACAGCAAACACACACACAGGTAGTTTATGTCTTAAACTTTCGGGTCCAAATACACTAGTGCATATGATACATTTAGTCAAAAGATTGAAATGAAGGATGGATGTAAAACACACATGCGATTGGATCTATGAAATAATTTTATATAAACGACATGGCCAAAAATGATTTACTCTGCACCATACAGCTGTTTCGTCCTTTTAGAACTCATCGTCGACGCTAGGGCCAAACAGGTGAACATCCAAATTGGTAAATAATCTACAATTGAACCAGAACGGAAGGTGTGTAATCCTCTTATCTATTAGTTTTGAAAATGATTGGGACTCAGGCGATACCAAAATATCATTATATCATATATATACATTATGTCATATCATACATAGACATTGTATTATATGCATATTATATATAGACATACACTGCTGTATGAAATACATGATTATATTATATAGAGTAGAACATTGCATTGACATACATAAGATCTTATCATACAAACACAGATTGTGTTATATAATCTACATAAGCACTTGTGCATTAGAATGAGAATGTCTGTCGAAAAGGTGTAAACCCCGAATAAAGTGGATGTAATAATATACTTAGTGTTGTTTACTTTTGTGATCCCCTACCCCAGACACCTATTTCACATTATCCCTCTTCCACCAAATTCTGTTCGATCAGGTGGGAGATCAGAGAAATGAAATCAGAATTACAGTTCCAGCATTTATCAACAGTATACAATATCTGTATTGTTAATTGTAAATGATGTTGCCATTGTAGACTATGGAACATTAAGATGCATTCAAACTAAACATCGAAGTTTGCATCAATGTACAAGCATTTCTCTGCGGTCTTATAGGGTCATCCAGAAGACTCTGACGATATAGCTCGTAATTAATAGGCTATTTCTATCCATCCCCCTTAAAGATGGTCAGGCCACTCTAAATGGTAAGTCATACTTGGAAACCCAAATTAGATATCGAAATACGGATATGTTATTAAGATATATTTAACTGACGATAGTTAGTAATTAATAGGCTATTTATATCCATCCCCCTTAAAGATGGTCAGGCCACTCTAAATGTAATTAAGACATATTTAACTTACACTTTATTTATTTCATTGTGAATATATGTGATTATTCATTTCGCATTGAGAGGTAGAACATGAGTCACTCTAAATGGTAAGTCATATTTGGAGACCCAAATTAGATATCGAAATACGGATATGTAATTAAGATATATTTAACTTGCACTTTAGTTCTTCATTTCGTATTGAGAGGTAGAACATGATTCCATTAAAAAATATCCAGTTTCCATTGCATTATACCCATATTTACGGAATCTAAGTTGATTCTTTCTAGGTGTTTGTCACATGAGACCAGACGAAGAAGTCACACCATGGCATTCCTGTCACTGCCATCTGTCCAATCATTTGGAAATGGAGATACACCAACGTAGGGGCACACTTGTACTTGCTGTTAAATGTAGAAGTGTCATAACATTCACATGCAGTTTTTTCGTATGTGAAACGATGTCGAAGTCTTTCTGTTGCGAGCATACAGATTTAGAAGATGCCAGTCAAAAAGCCCGTAGCTGATGCCAAAATGAAGAAATATTTTGTTCACGAGAGTTTGTCGCAATGTCGTATGCTTTGTCGGTATTTGTTTGTAAACAATAGAAAGCATTTAGTCAGTGAAATATGGACCTGCTAAGGGAGAGTGACGTGGCACTGGATTATCATTCATGATGTCGCCGGTATCCACAATCTCATATATTTGTTGGTATAAAAGGTCACTCCACACAGGAACTTGATCAAACACTTATTCTATTGCGGGCGCTTATTCAACATCTACATTTACACCGTCTACACCATCAAATGAACCTTAGAAGTGGTAAACGTTCGATATCAGTTGACAAATAATTACTGTATAACATGAACTGTTCGTGTGTACTTTCTTTCGTGGTTTTGAGCTTCCAATTTATTTCGCGGGTACAAACTTAAGTGGTTAGCCACGCACAACGACATATATCCACCATTCCAAAAGTCATTGGTCCAACACCGTAACAAGTCAGCGGTATGCTTTAAAATGACAAAAAGTCACACTTACCCATTCATGTCAAACAAGAAAAACTATTATCAAACAAGTAAAATAACTATAACGTGGGCGGGAGTGTTGACATCGGGCTAAAAATACTGACCTGTTCTCGTCAGTAAGCCTACAGTTTCACTTGATACTTGTCACGTTTATAATTAATCAAAACCAAATTATTTTTATACAACATATTTATAACACATGTCCATTTCATTAGAACATTTCTTTATTTGAAATTAATTTTCCAATTATCTTAAATATTCTTCCTTTGAATCGATGTGTCAATATCGCACGGAAATGTGAAATCGGAATAGAAATAAGAAACTAGATTAGGAACATGAGGTTACCGATCGATTTGTGTGTAACCCTGGATTCTATTATACTTTCCTTGGATGTGGTGAAGTAAGGTTCTTTTCATTTATACACAAGTAGATCTACAACATTTTCAGTATGAAATTCTTTTGCATACGTTTCTTCGCTGTTATTACATGGTCATAAGTATACACGTACAATGTATATATATTTGTGTGCACATTTTTGATTGAAATAAAGTTGATATTATTTTCACATTTACGTTGTGTATATTCTTTCGAGTTGTACAAATATTCGTTGTATTTATATCTGTGGTCCCATAGAAACCATGAAAACAACGAAAGTTTATACATACGAACATTTTATTTTATACAGTACACCAAAGTAATTGGTCCGTCTATTGAACCTTGGAAGTGGTATGCTTTAGATGTTAAGTGATATGATAATGCATAAAAGTGGTTTGTGGTCCGTCTACTGTACCTTGGAAGTGGTTCACGTTCAATGCTAAGCGGAACATTATCACACAGAAGTAGTCCATAATCCGTCACCTGAACCTCTGAAGTGGTAAAAGTTCGATTTTAGAATTTGAATGCACAAAAGTAATTAATAGTCCTTCAACTGAACCTTGGAAGTGGTATGCTATTGACGTTTAATGATATATTAATTCATAAAAGTGGTTCGTGGTCCGTCTACTGAACCTTGGAAGTGGTATACGTTCGTATTTAGACAACATTTTAATGGTTCATGGTAGAAGTCGTAAACGTTT